GAGAACCAGCAGTACCGAGCTTGCAGTGCTTCATAAAAGTTGATATTACATGTTGTGCTATTGGATTTTGGCAAGGAGAAGGCAATAAAATATTCCTGTAGAATAGAAACATCCAAATGACAGATATTAAAGCCAAAATTTAAAAAAAACCAACATTTACTCTCCTAAGGTAACTCTTAAATCCATATTTAATCACACAGGTAAGTGGCCAGATTTTGACATGTGCAGCTTTAGAGCTTGAGGTCCATCAAAGTACTTATCCATGTGGGCAGTGTGTGCCTTGTACACTAAAGAGCAGTTTCCAGAAGAGAGTTCAAAGAGCTGATGCCAAAAACAACCTTTCCTAGCACAGTGCTCCTCAAGGAACCCCAGAGCTTGCAGGATGTGTCCCTGTATAATAAAGATCAGATAATGTGCTGAAATGCCCTTGGAGACATACATGTGCAATCCCTGGATGCTCAGCACTGCTAAAGTGTGGATGCATATTTAGAAGCTGAAGCAGAGATATAGGATTCTAAATTTAGTTAATTCTTTAAAAAACCATCCCGGGCTTTCCTTTCAAATAGGAGATGTTTGTTGTGATGAGAATAAAACTACAAATTGCATCTTTGTCAGGCACAATGCTGGCTTCTGTGGTTTCCTTGGAAGTGGGGTCCAGCACACTCTCTGCCAGACATCAGATCTCCGCCAGACACCAGATCCATGCCATCACCTGCACTGTGTGGTGCTGGTGACTGCCCCAAAACATATCACTGTTTTCATTCTCCATTATCAGAGATAATCAGATCATAAATTAAATCTATAGAAACACAGAAGTTCGATTTTTTGATATTGTGTGCATTTTTCTCTCTTTTCTAATGTTTTTCCCATATGCTGCTATTCTGTGCTTTCCTCCTGCTCTCTATCTTTTCTGCCTTCTAGCATTTGCAGTCCAAATTCTGGGCTGCATCAAAAGGAGTGTGGCCATCAGGTTGAAGAAGGTGTCCCCTTTTGCTCTGCTCTTGTGGGACCCTTCCTGGAGTGCTGCATCCAGCTCTGGGCTCTCCAGCATAAGAAGGATATGGAACTATTGAAAGAAGTCGATAGGAGGGACACAAAGTTGATAAGGGGACTAGGGTAGGAGATGGGAAAAGAGCATCCCGAGGCTGTGAATAGTGACAGGTTATCTGTGTAGGTCTATGCCAGCCCTTCCCCAGCTGATGAGCTTCTTCCTCTCTCTGCCAGCAGCATCAACACACTGCTTTGCTAGGGCTTCAGCAAAACAGTCATGTTATTTTTTTTATGATGTGAGCTACCAGCAGCACAGACCTGACTGTCCATCCAGAACCACACATGCTCTGGCTGGGGGTGCAGAGGACAGAGTGAGCACAGAGCAGGACCCTCTCAAAGCCCTAGGAATGGATGTGCTGTCACAGCTATCACTGCATCTGTCCCTTCTGGACACTCTTCTCAAGGGCTGTAGAACACACTTTTCTTCTGAAATCCCCCAAACTAAAATGGACTAAACTACAATTTTTCACCTTCTACTCTTTTAACTATGAGGAAATGGCAGATTCCTTGTGTTCTGGCCTGTTTTTCCTTGTCCCACAGTGTCACACTCGCTTAGCAGCTTCACTTTTTAGATGCATTAGAAAGCATCAGACAATTCAGTACAAATCAGATTGAAGAATAAAGATTCAAATGCATGGCAGAATCCATAGGGAAGAAAAGTGTCGGAAGAATCATGCAAATTACATCCTAGTTTTGGGTTTAAAAACTTTTTTATCCTGCAAAAACCAGCAGTGGTCTGTGTCACTGTACACATTTGTACCTACTTTTGCATAAAAAATCTTAGTGCACAAATATACCAAAACTATTGTAAAATGTATATCTCTGGCTGTGCATATGTAGGTCCTTGGATTTATCTGCTAGAAAAAGAAGGGCCCCCATTGCTATGCTATCACCTAAAGTATAAAAATAGAAGATTTTAATTAATATCATAATGCTGTATTTTGAGTTCTGACTTTCAAGGAACCCTTTATCTCTCTTGTTCTGTCTTTTGCTGACAAGCATATTAACTCTGCATACCTAGAAAATAATGAAATCCTGCATAATAAAATCCTGATGCTGGATTTTCTCTCCCTCAAAGTGCAAGTTTTCTGGTTTAGCCTATGATTCAATGTGCACCTCTGAAATGGCTTGGTTACTCTACTGGCTCTGTTCCAGGGTTTGCAGGGTTTACATTGGTTTATTTTTGTAAAAGGGTTACAGAGAGAGCCTAAGGTGGAGAGAGCTGAAGTTAATACCAATAAAACAGTGGTAAACTTTCAGCTTTCCTAAACTTTTAACTTTGTAAGAATCATAGGCCTAGTGATGTCTCTGAATTATTAAAGTCCTTCACAAAATGTTGATAATTATCATACTGCTTTAGAGAAAGAAGATGTTTGTTTATAATGCCTTTATGTGTACCAAAAGAGACTAAGCACAGTGAAAAGTCTCCTGAAACTCAGATCTGAAATACTCATTTGTTACATTTTGTGAGGTAGAGGGAGGATAATCAATCACATGCTGCTCTATAATTATATATCTCATGAGTTCACAGTGCTCATGTCCTTTTCTTAAAGCATTTTCCTTCCACTTTCAGAAATCAGTAGAAAAACTGGTCCTGTTTGGCTCCTGTGTCACTCAGTACAGTAGAAAACAACATGTCTATTCATTCTCCTTTTTTTCAAACTTCTTGTGAAAATGGATTAATTGTGGTACTAATGGTTATGCAGATGTGTTGCTTAAGAGGAGGTGTACTTTTGCTCATGAAAAAGTTCAAAAAGTCTCAGCCTGGTAGGCACTGAATGCAGCCCCCAACAGACTAATTTTCCTCAAATTTGGCACAAGTGGATAGGAGAAGAACAGAAGCAATATTGGTGAGGACAGTCATCACTTACTGCAGAACTAGGCTGTGTTCTGTAAAATCTTGAGTCCTCTGCAGTTTAGTGGTGATTTTGTTTTTCTCCACAACTGGGCTTCTTCAAGGAAACAGGAAATCCTGAAATTTTATTTAAATGCCTTATCCCATATATAATAGGGCTTGGGATTCAAAAGAATTCATTCAGCATGCTCTCCAAATGGCATTTAACTTCCCAAGAAAAAACAGTAACAGGAAGTTTTGTTTTAATTAGTACATGAGCTGTGCAGCAGCTAATGTATTCCACCTCTTCACTGTTGTAAAAGGAGCAGATTTCTTGGTAGCATGAAGCAAGTAGAGAAGAGGGATTGTGTTCTGCTCTCCATATGCTGCAGAGCCCCATTTGCAGGGAAGGTGTGAATGGGAGGTGATTTGTAGCTGCCTGCCACTTGTAAAGAACAAGCTTCTGTTGTTCCCCAGGCTGGAAAGAAACCTGGGTCCCCTCTGTAACTCTAGTGCAGTGCAACAGTTAGACAGCAGCCTTCAGAGATTTAATTTCAACAATAAGGGATTGTAAAGAAAGCTTATTTTTTCATTTACATTAAAAAACTAAGTACTGGATGTCATTAAAAAACTAAGTACTGGATGTCAAGCTGGAAATCCCTAGTTTCCTCAGACATGATATTTCTTGATGGAAAGTCCCAAGGAAGTCACATTTTAGAGAAACTTGGAAAGTACATGTCTTTTCCCTCTGTCGGGCTAGCCGTAAACAGCCAGGCTGGATCTTCAATGTCAAGTGCCATCTCGAGGTCCCAAACTGGTCCAGCACTGCAACATCTTGTAGGAATAGTTTCAGAGCTCTGTAAGTGTATATGTGTGTATGCATTTATATTGTATGTAGTTCCTTCGTCAGTTGCAGAGGAAAGTTTGTTCAGAGATCTCCTTCCCAAAAATCCAGGTGTCTCCTTGACAGTCTGGATGTTTGTTTTCAGTGCCAGGCTCCATGGGTGCAGCACAGTGCAAGCTGGACCTGCAGGGAGACTCTGCCCTCTCAGCAGGATTCTGCACAGACATAGAGGTTTGCTGGTGTGGGATTGGTTTCTGAACTGGAGGATGGACACAGAAGCCACCACAGCAGCATCCCTGGAGAAGACAATAGCAATAAGCAGGAGTGAGCGTGTTGGTGTGAGTGTGTGGCAAGAAATGTTATTTTGTGGTGGATTTTCTGCCACAGGGATGAAAAGTCAAACAAGAAGAGAGGCAGGCAGAGATGTCAAGAGGAGCAGAAGTGTGTTGACAAGGCAATAAAAATGTCAGGTGACCCACTTACCTCTCACTTGGCTAATTCTCATCAGCAGTGGAGACGAGAAAACATTACTTTCAATGCTTTTGTGCAGTATAGGTCCTGTGGTGAGGGGGATGGAGCCAAGACTAAGAATTTATGTTTTCCAAGGCACTGTCTGGCCACCCAGAGGGGCATTTTAGGTGGTCCTGTAATTGCAATTTAGCCTTAGCGGAAGATAAGCATTATACCTTAGCAGAAGTGCATTGGAAAAATACATTAGAAGTAATAACTCTGCCACTTTGAGGGATAAAAACTTTTTTTTGTGACCATGCAGCTCTTTCCAATGCCTGGCTGACATTTCTGCTGTATTTAGCACAGACTCCTCCATTTTTCTTGTCACAAAGGTAAGAAATGTATTTGGAGTCAGCAGCCTGGGAGGAGCAGTTCCCTGCTTCATGGCTGTTTACCCAAGCAGACCAGCAGACCAGCTGGCTCCTTTCCACATAACAGGGGGCTCTTCTCTGGGGTCTGCTAGCATGGAACCTTTCTGTTTGTGAAGAGCAAAAACATCCTCTGTGCTGATGAATATGCTGTGTGATTGAGATTACAAAGGTCTTCACTTTGCCTGCTGTCCAGAATTTTTGCCTTCTTGCTTATCTGCAGAGGCTTGTGCCATGCTGAGGACATGCTGTCTAACAAGCCCCTGAGTTTCTGGAATATAATACGATGAAAATAATTTAAAATTTCCTCCCAGTTACCCTTTTCCTACTGTTTATTATCAAAACATATGAACATTTTTCACTCACTCAGCTGTGTGTTTCTTTATTTCTTTAGGCTGTGACTCGTCACTGAACTTGACATCTCAGAAAGCCACAGATGCAATGGACGGTATCTTTCGGTCCCTCAGGGATATTGCCAGAGTCCGAATGCACATGAAACAGTTTAATTCCATACATAATCCAGGCAGCAACACCCACCAGGCAAGTGTAGCTTTCTTTTCCCTGTGTTTGTTATTTCTCTAGCATGCTGTCAAAATTACAGCCCTAATTTTGTGGATGTGCTAATCCTATGCACATTCTGCACATGAGGAAGATGCTTAAGCAGAGATTTTTATATTCAACCTAGTCATCAAAAAATTCCTTAAGTCTTTTGTCCAGTCTCAGGCGTATGCATATCAGTGTCAGATCTGGGGAAGAAATTTGGGCTTTGCTCTGCAGCACTGTGGAATGATATGACTGCCTGTGAAAGGGCGGGCTAAGTCAAGATGGATCTTGACTTAGACCACTCAAGGCAGAGTGAAGCAGGATGTCTGCAGCCATATTCTTGTCTTTTCTTTCCCGTCCCTGTATGCATGAGAGACAAACCTGTTTGTAAATAGGTGACAAATGCAGCTTCTGTTTCTGAAATAGGAACATATGATCTACAATACTGCTTTAGGTCATCACAGTAGACAGTGGTTTTCCTTCTCTCTGTCTCCCCTGAAGACCTTTTCCAGTTCAAAACAGAGTTTTACAGGAAAAGCAGTGATTTAGAGAGAGATCATAAAACATGATTTTAGCCTTGAGCCAGAAAAGAAATCCCTCCAAACTTCTAACAGTGCTGTAGACCAGCAAAGGGATGTAGTTCAAATTAAGCATTGCTTTGTAAGTACATGAGTGTTGCAAAATGTCACTGGAAGTCTAAGGTGAAGAAAACCTGTTCCTAAAGTCTTCTTGTAGTTTGGACCAGTCTGGTGTCCAAACTGGGGAAAATTGTTAAACATTTAATACAGTTCAGTGCAGGGGCAGTGAGATGATAAGAAAAGTTTCCTGGAAGTGTAATTATCATCTGTGTGTCCTTTGGATATAATCCACTTTGCTTGCTTAGAGATAAGTGCTGGAACACAGCAAGGGATATATTAACACCTTGCAGCCCCTTAATCTAGCCATGCAGGGGATCTGGTTGCTTGAGTAGGACAAACCTTCTTCTGAGGGAAGTCCAGAAGATTTGTAATAGTAGAAATAAGCAGGCAGTATGTGATTGTCCGTGACACTTACAGTTCTCTAGAAACGGGCTTTTCTTTTGACTGGCAGGTGTTGGGTGTGATCAGTTTAGCATGTCAGAAGAAGTAGTGCCCATCCTGTGACCTCACTCACCACCAAACTTGCTTAGTGCTGTGGGAACGGGTTTATCCTCTACATACTTTTTCACTTTGTCTGTTAAAAGCTGGGAAGCCTCCAGGTTTCTATGGATAAGTAACTGGGAATTGGATAGTCTCTTAGAAGGACTTTTTTGTAGTGTGTAGTTTGTATGTCTTACATAAAATGATAAATGTTTTCATCACATTATAAAACTAGTTCATGTAGTGACCATGCAAGAACAGAATTTTGCCTGTTTTTGAAACTACTTTCATTTTGATATAGGTGTATTTCTGCTTTCCTTCTTCCCTTCCTCTATTCCTTCTTCTATCCCTCACTCTCCGTCTCTCATTTTCTCTCTTTCTCTCTGTTTCTCTCTCTTCTCCCTTTTATAATCTTGTATGGTGTGTGTCCCATAGCTATTGAGGTTTTTAACAGCTATTTTAAACAAATTTGTACCTGCCAAAATTTAAAGGTGATAAAAGTTTCATTATATGAGATAGAAACTGATGCAGCTGTTGGGGGTAGTACACAAAAAAACCACCAAACAACCTAAAAATATAGAAGATTAATTCCACATCATAAAAGATATTTTAAAAATATTTGAAACCATTATACTTTAAAAATATTATCTGTATTTTAGTATCTGTGTACTCTGACTGGGTTGTTTTGAAGGGCACTGAGTTTTGGTGCTGAAAATTCAGACATGCAAAATCATAGCACATTTTTCACATCTTTTGAGTACATAGTTTTTGTCTGAATGATATTTTTCATTTCAGTCAGATGCTCTTTTTATTTTAATTTTGTGCAGTAAGCCTCTCTGTTAAACTGTGATTTGATCTCTGCTCCAAAAATATTTAATTACTAATGTTCTTCTGTTCCTCATCTATGAAGATATTAAACAGATTTTTATAAATAGGACTTCATGCCTGCATGTGTATTTTCAAACAGTTGTTTATTGCGTGACTAGATTTGACAGAAATCTTGACATGTTCTAAAAGATCCTGCAGCTCATGTCTGCTGTAATTTGCTTTGTTGGCTCAACTAAAAATTATGCACATGTTGTGAGAAGAACTAGATGAGTTGTATAAATCTTTGTTGACAGGACTGTATTAAAAAACTGTAAGCTTTGTTTCTCACTCTAAAGTGTTAGATGAAAAACATTTCTTTAATGACTCCAGAAAATTTTAGTTTCAAGCCAAGTGGTTTGTGTTTTGTTTTCCATCCATTTTTACTATTATCTTGCAAGCTGTCTTTGTAGATATCATCTTTGCAAAATTAATGATGTTATACTTCATTCCCCTAAGTAATCTAAGGGATGATATATACCTGGGGCAGTCCCAAAGCCAAATAAGTGTGCTAATTTTAAAGCTGCTCATTTTCTAAGACAGTTGCACTTTCTGAAATGGTCATGGTTCTGTTGCAGTTAAAAGCAGTAATACAAAGCTCAGTCTGTAAACCAAGTAAACTTGAATTTTCATTAAAGATCTTTTCCTAAAAAAAAGACTGGTTCCTAAAATTTTATCTTAAAAATTTTTTCAGCATGTCAGAGTGGTTTAAACCTTGCTTGGAATATGGAGATTATTAGGCTACTACTTCATATTCAGCCAGAGTTTGTGGATCCTGAGGAGGATACAAGGTTGATCCTTTGGGAGTAGACCTTCCAGCATGTTGACCATTTGTACCTTTATATTTCCCACTTCTCCTAGCCCCTAACTTCTCTGAAGCTCTGACATTCATGGTAAAGGTGGGGTAGTCTGACCTGTTTTTCAAAAGTCTTCCACAGGTGGAAGTATTATGTGGATTGCCATGGCCTTGGAAGGTAAAGGACTAACAGGGACTCCTTAACTCTGCTCTCCCATGAGGGACAAACAGGCAGGTTGGCCTCTTCCCTTCCCTGCTGATATCCAGACTTCAGTGGGGACATGACACTTGGAATAATGCAGGAGTGGTGAATTTAAAAAAAAATCCTTCCTTAGGTGTTTGCAAAATCATTGAAAAGGGAATGAGATCTGGGTGCACAATGGGCAACAGAGTCTCATCCATATGGTTATCCTCTTCTGTATTACCTCCAGAAAGATTCCAGAGGAAGTAAAAGTCCCCCCTTTCTTCCTTGTCTCTCTTTACTGATACAATACACATGGGGCAGAGTAATTGTGTGGCTCTCTTCCACTCTTTTCAGTCTGATATTGTGCTGGTGCACACCATCTGCAGTCAAGGTCACAATCTCTCTGAATGCTTTCATTTCTGTATTCTATATGTATTATATATAATATATTCTGATAATTATTTCTGTAATCTTTAATAGAAATAAAATATTTAGAGTCATGGTGTCACTGAGTCTAAGCAGGTTTACTCACAGTGTGTTGTTCTCTTTGTGCAGGCTTCTTACAAACCTCTGCTGAAACAGGTAGTGGAAGAGATCTGTAATCCTGATCGTCCCGATCCTGTTGATATTGAGCATATTTCATCAGGCCTCACTGATCTCCTTAAAACTGGCTTCAGCATGTTTATGAAGGTAAACCAGCCTTCCCAAGATTGTCTGTAAGATTTTCCTGAGGTCAGAGCATCATGCAGCAGTAGCTGATTTTATTATACTGTTCAGCAGAACTTAAGGGGAGGTTAGGAGAGTTAAATCCTTGAAGTGGGGCTGGGAATAGCTCAAGGCACCACATTGCAGGTACAGTGCAGACAGGTAGCGCCTCCTGAACACAGCAAAAGGAATGGAGCAGACTGAACATCTAAATAAGGGTGACGATGGACACCAAAATAAGGATGATATATATGGGAAGATGCAATGTGGCTTTGCTAAAGGGAAGTCCTAACTCATAGCTTTTAGGGCTCCTCAGAGACGCGCAACGAGCAAATGAGTGTCAACCTACCTGGCGTTCCAAAAGGCATTCAATCGACATGGCACCGCAGCAAAGGACTTTAAGAACACTCAGCAGCCTTGAGATAGGAAAGAAGTATGAACAATCACAGGGAATGAAGGAGGAACTCCGTATTCAATACCTTTGCTATAATTTGATATGGTTCAACTTATACCATAGGGGAAGGAAGGAAGGAAGCCTGTAAATTAGACATTTCTTTGTGGATCCTCTTGGCATGTTTTAAGACAGTCATTCTACAAGAATTTACTCTGCCTTACAAATTAGCCCATGCTAAGTGCCTGCTAAATATTTACAGATTTGAAGTGTGGAGTAGCCAGCATGTTGTGCATTCAGCCTTTCTTGTTGCATATCCTGAATTCTCTGTTGAAAACAGCCCTAAATTCACATCAAACCACATCAATACTATGGTTATGAGTGCAGTACATTTCAGTACTGTGCCTGGTGTTTTCCTTAGTGTTACCACCACCACTCCTCTGCATGGAAGAGACAACAAAAAACTTTGGGCAGTGTTGTCCACTGAGAGGCAGTGGACACAAGGTGTAGCAAGGGAAATTCCAGTTGAATAAAGGAAAAAAAATTCTAACTGTAAGAGTGGTTAAGTCCAGTGAATTCTCTGTCTCTGAAATATTCAAATGTTGGCCAAACAAAGCTCTAAGTAACCTGATATAATTTTGAAGTTGGCCCTGCTTTGGGCAGGGAGGTGAACTAGATGAGCTACAAAGACTCCTTCCAACTTGATTCTGTGATTCCATGGTAACAGAAAAGAAAAAAAGGTTCTTTCTCTGTTGTGAAAATTCCTGCTAGACCTGCATGTAAAGTCAGGTGACAAAAATAATTTAGACTGTTGTGTTGATACTATTCTAGAACCCAGTATCAGAATAACAAAGATAACAAAGTTGTTTTTCTGTTATTCCAAAGAAAGCTAGCATTGAGCACATAATCCAAATTCTTAATCTAAAAGTTTATAAAATCCTAATAACGCACTAATAAAGTGCTTCTTTTCAGGAGTCTGTTCCCACAGTTGAAATGGATTTCCAAAATATATTCAGATAGGTTCCTAAATTGAAATTATCAGTTCTTCATAGCTAATGATAAAGCCCTAAAACAACAGAGGATACATATAGAAAAAGTGACCCAATATATCTCTATTCTTGTGTCAGAACTGAAAAATTTATATCAGCACTTCAAAAATAGTAGAATGAAAAACACATTCCACTATCAAACAAAGTAACCAGGCTGGTACACCCAAGTATTTATTTTAATTATTAGTTTAGTTTGCCAGTAATTCTCACAATTCTATTGATTTCATTGTATTTTTTAATTGAAGAATTTTTAAGCAGGAATATAGCTTATTCTTAAAAAGAAAAAAAAAAAAAGAATAAAGAAAAAAAGAAGACTATAAGGACTTCAGAAAGCCTAAATAGTTAGATGGAGAGATTGACACCTTTAACTAGTTTGAGGACTAATCTATCCTTTTAAAAGGTGTGGGTGGGTGTGTAAAAGAGAGACATAAGTAGTTATAGCAATATTTACCTGTAAACGCATCTTTCCTGGTAAGACAAATATTCTAGTATAAGGAATATTTAAGGGATGAGCAAGTGTATTTTGTGTAGGATAAACATTTCATAGGCATCATCACATACTTCACAAATATGTGTCCATGCTTGCTCCCATAGTTTGTAGCTTGGCTTGCTGGCATGTGCCCAATTGTATGAATGAGTGTCTGACCAGCCTGTATTTCTGACACAATCACACCATCAACACAGTAATTATTCTGTGAGCTTCTTTATTTTTGTTTTCTTCTCAATGCCTGAATATAAATGACAACTCACATAAAAATACTTCGGTGATTGCCTCAGGTGTGTTAGTTCAGGACCGGCTTTTAAAGATACCTCTCATCCAGAAATTGTTTTTCTGGCAGATATGTTTGTTTTGAAGCTAAGGGATGGTGAAGGGAAAAGGCTCCCCTGCCTCAAGGACTTCTGTTTTGACTGCTGCTCTAGGCCACATGTGTTTTATGATGATCTGAGCTTGCTATCATTGATATCAAGTGCCCTACACAGCAGCCTAGTTTCTGGTGATTCACATGTTTTCCTTTTTCCAGTTATTGAGCTAAATAATTGGTTTCTGGTTGGTCACAAATACCAGAATCATCAGTGCTGTTGTTTTTGGGTGAGTTACAAAACAATAACAATTGTTTTTGCTGACTTTCCTCAGAAAAAAACCTGTTTTGTGAGCTGCCATAAGCCATGAGAACAAACCTGTCCTCTAATGCCTTCCTGTTTCTGTTTCAGAGTTTTATTGACCCTTTTTCAGTTTTAGAGTTTTATTGACCACTGCCACCCTGTTTTACCACCTCCTCCTCCTCTTCCTCTCTCTCTCTCCTCCACACCTACACCAGCAAAGAGCCCTCTGATCACTAGCATCCTGAGCATACCCTGTATGGTGAGCTCAGAGCTGGGGAGAAGGCCCTGATGTCCTGCTGCAACACTCTGCTGGCTCAGGGCATCATCCCCCCTTCCTTTAGGCTCTTTCATGTCAACATAATGGTTTTGAGGTGTTTTTGTTTAATCTTTTTAATTGCCTGAGACAACTTTCCAAATTTTTTTTTAATATATGGCATTTTGAATTGAAAGTGAATTTCGCTCAGGGATTTTGGCAAAATTCAGATTTCACAGTAAATTCAGAGGCATTGGAAATGTCCCAAATCAACCTAACTGTAGAAGGATCCCAGAAGATACACAATGCTTTTGTTTGCAGCCCATTTCAGTTCTTCTTCCGTATCACTGAAATGAGTTGTGTTCAGCTACACACAGCCAGTTCCTTCAAAAGAGAGAGTCTTGGGTGGTTGTATTATCAAAAGAACAAAAAAAAAAATATTGGCAGAAACTTGCATTCTTAACACAGCCAAATATTTTGTACCCAAAGTATTGTCCTCCTTCAAAACACTTACACAAAGCATAACAAAATTACAGATTCCAAGACCCTTTTCATTTCTGTTTTAATTTAATTTAGAGTTTGCATGCCTAATAGTATTTTTAATTTGCATTTCTGGAATTTGTGGTTTGAACTTTAGTCTGCTGAAAAATAGTAAGTTTTATATAGGCACCATGTGTTTGGATCTAGGTTTATTTTGACTGAAGGAAATGATTTGTCAAGACATTTTCTCTTTAACATTACCCTGGAAGTTCATGTTTTCTGATTCTTATACTGAGTGTCCTTTCAGTGTGCCCAATGTTCTGCATGCATGTTTATTATGAGTTTGTTTTTGCTAGGAAAGATACTAAGAATCATAAAATCCCAGAATCACAGAATATTTGGAGTTGGAATGAGCACCCAAGGATTATCAAATCCAGCTCCTGGCTCTGCACAACACCATTCCCAAGTGTCACACCACGTGCTCAAGGGTATTTTCCAGGCATGTGTGGTGTTGTGACCACTTTCCTGGTGATGGAAATGTGCCCTGGAATTGTAGGATGTTTGCTATCTGTGCCATCAGCTGAATGAAGATGGCCAGCAAAGTCAGGGTGAGTAGGAGAATAAATACCCAGTGTGCAAATACTCAGCTAGCTAATACATCTGTCTAAGGCTTTTGTACTAGTTTCAAACACTCAGCAATTCAAGAGCTCTTTGCCTGGGGAGCAGCACTGAACATGGAGCCCCATGTAATCAAAGCCAGCTAGCCTGGAGAGAGGACAGGGCATCTCCCTGTGCTTCAAAAGGAAGAGTCCTTGCAGAAGGTTACCAGGCAGAAAGCCTGACAGACCTGAAGGATGAAAAAGCTCAAAAAGACTAAATATAGGAAAGCCACAATAAGGAAAAGAAGAAGAGCTGTACCCCCAGGAGCTGGAGCCACAAGAATCAAAGCAAGCTGCTGTGGTGGGGGAAGCAAAAGAACCCTGCTCTGCCCAAACATGGGTTGACACCACTTTCATTCTGTCGAGTGAATGCTGTTAAAAGCCCACGCTCATGCAAGGAAAGGAGGCAGAGAGTCTAAAAAGGAATTAAACCATTTTGTCACTTTTCAGAGCCGAACATTTGGAGTGTTTCATGCTCCAGGGTGATGTGACAAGAGCAATTGCATGGGCTCTGTTGACATCCCTCCCAAAGACTGGATCAAGGTAGCGTCAAGGGAGTGTGTTTTCTCAAGACTGAAAACAGTTTGCTAGGAAAAAGCAAAGTCATCAACTTCTAGAAGTGGCTAACAGGAAACTGATGTAAAGCATCACCTTCACGTTTAAAATTAAAATTCAGTTTCATAAAGTCTTAACTTTATGAAGTGGGATGTTTGTGCCATTTCAAAGATAATTGGGGAAAAATGAAACAAGTATTTTCTTGGAACTAAAGTTTCTCTCTGTTATTTACAAGGCAGACATAGAAACATTGAAAATGGAATAGAAACAAGCTATAAGCTGATTCTATACTATAATGGACCTGATTTATTTTTATTGGATGAATTGTAAAAGATTATTCACTGCACCAGTGAAAACACATTGCATAAAATTCTTTCCCATATTGACCTCAGGCAGGGATTCTAGTATGTTTAGGCTGGACTCCTTTCTTCTACTGAGTTGTAATTTACCACTCATTCCTTAAAGTCTCCTGTGTATGTGTATCCAAAGTAAATATCCACCCAAGTACTCTCCTCCCACTCTGGGAAAAGGAGGAAAGTAATGAAGATTCCTCTTTGGTCTTCCTCTAGCCACTTAGGGAGCTGATTGCTGGTAATCCATAGGTTTGGACCTGGATGAAGCAAGTACAAATAATTCTTTTCTTCATTTTACAGGTGAATCGCCCTCACCCTGGTGATCATCCTCTTCTGATCATCTTTATGGTTGGAGGAGTGTCAGTCTCTGAGGTCAAAATGGTGAAGGATTTGGTAACAACGCGCAAACCTGGTACCCAGGTAAAAAAACAGCTCTAAGCATACAGTTCCTATCCAAACAAAAACTAAGAAAATTCATCAGTGTTCCCTATAGCACTGATACCAAAGCTACAGAAAGCCACAGACAGAGGGACAGGAATGATGTTACGATTTTGCTGTGAAACATCTGTAGGCAACAAGCATCCAGGCACCAAGGGTCTGTTTTTTCACATTATAGTCAGCAACAAAAGTTCAAACTCAGGTTGGACGGTTCAGAACAGACTGGCATTAATTTGAAGTAGCTTCCATCAGGTCTCAAAAGATTAATTTCTTTGTATTCTTTGTAAACAGAAATATTTGCTGTCCAAAAAGCTACAGGGTGCCTGGCAGTCCATCTATGGGACCTAGTGCAGGGATCCTCAGGAGTCTGGGTACCACCTGGTGACTTCTCAGTGGTTCCTGCAGATGTGCCAATTAGCAATGGTGAGGAGCAAAGTAAAATAACTTGGATACAGCTGTACTGTTCCTGTGTCTGGCCAGGTGTCTCTGATAGATACCTGACCACTAGACCTTAAGTATCCTGAAGCAGGTTATGTGGAGAAAGCCCCAAGTCTCTGCATCCCTTAGATGCGCTCCTGGAAGGAGGATGGTTCCTACAGTGAAGCTTCAGTAATGTCCATGTGGCTGATCTGTGCCTCATCCACTCTCTGGCAGCAGAACTTGACTACAGTAACTGTCATCAGAATGGAGGAGGGAGAGGAAGAGGATGGGTGAGCTCTGGCGGCACCTGAGATGTTAAAAATCATTAATTGTGGAGAACCAATCAGGTGTCTGTTAAGTGCTGCAGATACACAGGGTAATACAAATAAAAGTGCTGTGTAACCAGCTGCATCATAAACATAACTCTGGTTTCCAGGGTGGCTTGTAAACATCTTGTTTTCAATTCCTATGGAAGGCAGTTTTGATTAGTGAGAAATCATTAGCAAAATGGAGCCAACCAAAGGCAGAACAGCCCCTTAGTTTGACATGTGTTTTCCATGTTTCAATTGGCTTTGCAAGGCAGTCTCAAGCAGTATTTTGTAAGATGGAGTACCATTTTAGCAGGTTTTTGGGTTTTTTTATCTGATAACACATTTCTTCCCCATTAGTCTACTGCTAATCTCCTCAAAATAGCAAATTAAGTTTTCCCTCTTGGAGGGGAACCGAGTTGTGACACACTGATGGACAAGTTAATCCACACACAAAATGTATTAAGACACCCTGAAAGATAAACAGAGGGTTAACATCTGAGTTGGTTGAGAACTATGCAGGGAGATTTTCAGCTGGCTTTCTAAAGGGACTTAAGGCTTGACAGTGGTGACATGGGATCTGGTGTTGCTTTGCTTTGGCTTAACCCTGGCAGCAGGTCACTCTCTGAGGCAGATTCCTAAAGCATTTTAAGCTTTTACTGAATCTTGCCCTTTATCCAAATACGCTGTGTTAGAGGTGAAAGAACTTCAGGGGAGAGGCGGGAGGAGGAAGAGAAAGAAGAAACTAAGCAGTTGTGCAAGTCTCTCACAAAAAAAATGTTTGTAAGTTTTTTGGCTTTACCTGGATTTCTGCACTATAGCTGTGAACATGCACCACCTGTTCAGGATTATTCTCTTTTCAAAAAGCCAGGCATTTATCTAACTCAAGCCAGGGTTTAACAGAGCCTTTTTGTGCTGTTCAGACAGTCAGGTTCAGGCTTCAAGGAAACACTGGCCTTCCAAATCCATTCCAGTCAAACAAGGCACTAACATTTATACTAATTACTGGCTCTTGGAAAAATGGAGAAATGTAAAAGTACAAAAAATTGAGTAAAGTAATTGAAGAAAAAATGACAGGGTGCACTGATTGCTTCAGCAACTGTTTGGAGTTGAGGCAAATGACATTTAAATATGGAATAAGAGACACATGTTTCCATCCACAGAACTGCTCTGCATCTGGATGTGAATGATGATTTTATTTCTCATGGAGAAGCACAAAGGAATACAGTGTTTCCTATGCACCATTTATTTGGATGGTGGTAAATAGCTCCCCATAATGAGTGAGAACTATCCTGTTTTTGAAGGAAGAAATTACTTCTCTTTTTCTGCTTTAATCAGGAGAGTAATAAAAGGGAAAGAGCATGAGAGAATGTTTCCCCCTCCCTTCTCCCAACATGCCCAGCCATCTAGGCAGGCAGACATGAACTCTTTCAGATGCACTTTTACATGTTAGCTGCATCCTTCCCTGCCTTCTGCTGTGCTGAGGGGAAACTTCCCATTGGAGTTCAGTGGGTCAGCATGGGAACTCCTGTCTCTTCCACCTTGGCTTCCAGTAGGAGGGGATAGCCCTTCAGGTGATGTGTGAAAGACAGGCATGGGGCAAGACAGGCACGGAGTACCAATCAATGAGAAGGTCTGCAAAGAACTGTCCTGAAGTGAGCTGTCTGGGAAAGAGATGGACACTACTTATCTGGGCAATTGTCCTCTTCACTGTAAAAATGAAAGAACAAACATTCACATTTATCCCCCTCAAGAAGCCCTTGGAGATACTGGAGGGAAAGGAGTGAAGTCCTGCTGTATTCAAGCATCTGAGACATGAAAGTTGCAGATCTCATTTTTCTCTCTGGGGTTGCTATTTGTTGCACAAATCCCCTGAGGGTTCAGTGGTAGGACTCCAAGAAGAAATTGCTTTTATCTGTCAGTGGCTATTGTTGATGTTTGGCTTGTACACTCAAACAACTTTGGTAACGTGTCCCTTCGTGTTTTTCAGAGTTAAGCTGCGTGATAACAAGATGAGCACATACTGTGCTGTAGTCTGATTCTCGTGTAATATAAGTAAGACAGTGTCAGCCTTTGGCATCTGCAAGTTACAGAGAGTTTTTCAAGCTTATGAAGGAAAAGATAATCAGTGTCAGTTTGCTGCAGATTGTGTGGGAGGACAAGGGAAGAGGAGAAGTGAAGGGGAGGCTATCACCAATACAGAAGGGATCTTTGCAGTATCTGAAGTGAAAAGATGAAAGAAAGAAGGAACAACAAAAAAAGTTGAAATGCAGCATTACCACATACTTGGACAGCACAAGGCATTTGATAGCTGCTGCAGTAAATGGACACACAGACATACTCTGTTGTTGATGTTTGTGCTTCCTCTCCTTGGTTTTGTGCTGAAGAAGCAAATTCATTTTCAAGTGAGCTAGGATGATTAAATCTGCCCCCAGCTCCCCGCCTGCAATCCTGACCCTATGGTCAGTGCTAAACTTGGGACTCAGTAAGAGCAGTGTCCTATGATTTTGACCCTGGGTTAGCTCCTCACAGCAAGAGTGTATACACGCACTCCTGGATAATAACTTTGCTCTGCAGAGAAGCCTTCACACCACATAATTAGATACTGGTTTTCACTAAGGGAAAACAGAGACCTGCACCTAGCAGGATACGTATCATAGCTGTGTAGTGAGGGATGGTTTCATTCATCAGAGCTGTCTGGGATTAAAATCTGGAAGAAGCCAAAGTGAACATCTGACAGTGCTCAAGGTTGAGCCTGATGTGCAGAACAGCCTGTGCCTGGTCTGAAAAGAGCCTGGCTGGCTTCCTGCAGCAGGCACTTCTGTGGTGCTTACCTTACCTTTAACTGAGAGGAAACAGGCATCACTCAAATCTGTGCTATAGGAGAGGAAACCACGGCTTCATCAGCTAGTGCCTCGCAGTAAATGCACTGGCAGTCACAATAAATCACCAGGTAAGGTGTGGGTAGAAATGTGTCAAAGCACACATTCATTTAGGCATACAGTGCTACCAGTCATTATGCTCCTTAAAGCGATTTAACTGCAGTTATTAGTGAGCAGACAGTTTTGCTGGACAAGTTGTGTTGCCCTGTCAGTAAACACCAGAAGCAGACAGCCTGCCTAGAGCTGGATAAAGCAAACAGTTACTATCTATGGCTCATTAGCACTGTCTCAATCCCTTTCAGTTTGACTTGTTGCTTCTTGTTCCCCTTCTTTCAGGTGATTGTGCTCTCATCTGTACTCCTGACACCACACAGTGCTGTTGAGTTGTTGTTTGCCCCAGACCGTCTCTAGCCTGATGCTCATATCTAACGGCGGAGGCTGTGGAGAAGATTGAGTGCCTTGCCTGGAAACATCAAGTCCCTGCTCTGTCACTCTTCTCAATAGCCCTCCAAAAACTGATGTGTCAACTGCTGCAATTACAGCTCCAGGTGAAATAGCTGGGTATCTGCCTGCAAGGGAACATCTGTAGTTCATGGGCAGCTCTTCAAAATGGTCCAGTTGCCCCACTCCTTGATGATAGCACTGTGCAGTGCTGAATCACTCCCAGCCTCACTCAGCATGGTGAGGGTGATTGTTTGAAAAAATTCCCTAGAAAAGGAACAGCTGAGAACCAGGTGATGCAAAATTTGCACTCCCAAGTACCATTTTTCCTGATAGTTCTGCTGGGCTTGCAGCTGGTGGGAAATGCTGCTGAGAGAGTGAGAGGCTAGCAAAATCCACTGTCTGTCATGCTACTTTGCAAAACGTGTGCCTTATACAATGTTAACAGCCTCTACTCTTACTTTGTTCTTCACTCCAGAGAGATCATGGAACACAGCCCTGATTTAGCTGGCACAGCAGCTCCCAGCTTGGTGATGCTCTTTTCAGCAGGACTGTTAGAGGCAGGGAAGCAGAGAGCTACTCAAGGGCTGGGTTACATTGCTGCTTCTCTCTCAGCTTTCCATTTCCTGCTCTACTTTTTCCACCCACAGTCCCAGAAGAAAAGACAGTTTCTGATGGCACACACTCTGTAGATTTACACAGGAGGCCATATGGGCTGTGATGGTTTGATGATAACCCCAAAAGAATCCTCCCCTCACATGCATATTAAAAAAAAAGAACAAAAAAAGGGCATGATCCCATTTTCAAGAGGCCACAGCAGATTCTTTCTCGAGCTAGATTTCTGAGCAGCATGATTGGAAAACAGCTTTTATTTTTAATTTATAATCATGAAAGAGCTTCAATCAAATTCAGTTACACAAATTTCTTTATAAAACTTTGCTACAATCTGTGATGAAAGAGCAGCAGCTAATAGAGATTTTAATTGCATATAGCACCCAGATTTTTGAATTGCAACATAAAATGGTGGAGCTCTAAAGCTGCATCCTCTTGCTTCATCCAAGTAATGCTACAACTCCAGCTTACACTGAGATGAGAATGTCAAATCAAGTGACATCCACTCTATCGTAGCATTCTTTATTATGCCAAAGGAGTAGATTAAATGGGAAGCAGTTTTTTAAATTTTGTTCACTAGCTAGCATTGGCTCTCCTAAATGTTTATAATGGTCTTCAGAAAAGGGTGCATTTTGGTTTAAATTCAATTTTGAGTTGCTGGAAGGAAACAATGGACTGATTATAAAGCATGGACAATGTTGCCTCTATAGAAGAGAAATTTATAAGAATGACTATAGAATGGAACTTTGTGCTATAAAAAATGAGAAATGCTATGAGATTGCAATATTAAAAGCTCAAGGAATAGTTTGAATAGAGCAACTGGAAAGCAAGTAGCTGGTCTCTTGGTTTTTCTGTCATTCTGTACGGTTCAGTCTTTCTTAGAATATGGTTGTTTCATAAATTCTGTAATCAATAACGCAATGCTCTCCCAATGCCAAACTTGATCAGTCTTCTTCTAGTAGAATAGAAGCATTCTTCTAGTATGCCAGAACTGCATATTCCTGCAACCTCTTTTATTTTTGCATTATTTAATTGCCCCTGGGAATCTAGACCTTCTATCTTGGTCCTTGAACATTTCCTACACTCTGCTCATAGCAGAAAGGCTTTCCTGTGTTCAGTGACCATTGCTGAGTTCAGGTACACCTCTGAGCTGCTGCTGCTTTCATGAGTTGATGGAAGCTTCTGGTTGTGGTCTTCACTCCCTCACCTTTCTTTCATCAAACTCCCTCAGGCCTCTGACTTGGCCATCTAAAGACCTACTGTATTGAGAAGGCAGGGGGTGAGTCTAAGCAGACCCTGGTGATCTTGCACTTCCTCTGGGTCAAGTAGCTCCTTTGACTGAAACAGACTAGCTTTCCAGGCCCACATACACTTTGGAGGAATCTTGTAGGGCCACAGCTGTGGTAATTGATGCTGGAACTCAGCCACTATCTCATACTTAATCACTTATAGACCAGAAGTACAGTGGAGTCTTTCCAGTGGCCCTAGAGCAATAGGAAGCTTATTTGTAGGAAATAGCTGTAGCAGCTACAGGGGAAAAGGTCAAGGGATCTCCTGCCAGTTCTATGTGAGTAGAAACAGCACAGAAGAAGGTTGCAGGGCAGGTGCAAGGCTACATCAAAGAATGTCTAAGTCCTCAGCCTGCAACACCGAGCAATACTCAAAAGGCAAGGAGAAAACATAAAGCTACCCTTGAGAAATTTATTTACTTCTCTATTGATAAACTGTTTTGATATAAGCTCAGAGTGGAAGGGCAAGCTCAGTTTTGTTTGCAACTCTAATCCTAAATCACTTGGCTAGTAACTCATGGTGCAAAAGATTATCATCAGCAGGACCCTGCATCACTTACTGCAGCTGTGTGCTAACAAGGTGAGCCTGTATGGCCACCAGCCTAGTACCAGCACAAACATCCTCCTCAGGAAGGCTTTTAGTAAAGCTATTTCAAACATGAAAAAGGTAGTTGAAGACTTGTGATTTTATTAAGTTCTTCATAGTGATATAGTTCAAAACATATTTATATTTTTTTTAAAGAAAGCAGCAGTCACTTAGAATTCATGTTTTTCCAGGTTTTGACCTACCTCACACCATTCCTTTCTTACTGAAGGCCAAAGTATTTTTGACAAGTGGAAATGAAAAATCCCATTTTAATTTGAAAGGCCTTTGCCTTATTCAATTCCTCTCCTAAAAAAAATTTCTTAAAAGGAAGTTGTAAAGCACTTGTGAGAGCAAAACCCCTGTGGTTTATGCTAATAAAGCAACAGCATAGGCAGGAAAGGACACCTTGCTGTGTCTGCAGTCTATGTTAACTACCTTAAGAAAGTTATTACTTTGTCTCAACACTTCAGTGGTTGTTACTCCTTGTTTCTCACCCCCAAAGAACACACAAGGAAACATGCAATTCAAAAAATTTAATGTTGTACCAGGCAGTAAGACTGAAAAGCCCACTCCCTAGGAGGAGTAACTGTACACAAAATAAATAAGTTACAGTTTAAACAAAAGCACGACTGGCTTTTTTTAAAGTGCATGTGTGTAAGGCCCTTAGGCTCTAAACTCCATTGGCTCAATATTTTTTTAAAAATTAAGTATTTATATAAATCTGCCATTTGTTTAAGAAGGAAGAGGGCCCGGCTCAGCTCAGAACAAGCCATCAGCTTCATTGCCTGGAGCCAGCCATGCTTCACACCTTTTGTTCTTTTGTGCCTACCGAACACAAAGGAGAGAGAGAGAGAGAGAGAGAGAAAAGGATGTCTTAAAATGGCATCTGTAATAGATTATCACTCCACACACATTCCTCAGAAGCTCCATGTTGGATCAGTTAGTCTGGAAAGTATTTTTTTAAGACAGTAAAAGAGTTGTTTGTAATTAGATATGTTTACACCCTGTGGACAATAGCTTTGCATACAAAGATCATGGTCAAGTTGTCAGCAATAACATGGCTAGTAAAAAATAAAGGACCATTGTTTACAGTCTTGATGCTCAGTCCTGTCCACTTATTTTACACTTATTTTTACAGAAACGTTTGATGTTTGCTTATTTGTTATGAAATACACACAAAGAAAACCAGTTCTACTGTGCAACAAAATTAAACAGTTGCATCATGCCTTTCTTCATCCATGTGAGAACAAAACTCAAGTGGTTACTTCTGAACAGGGACCTGCAGTTCAGGGCATTTTCCTGCTCAAGTGGAGTTACAGCAAAAAGGTTGTTTCTGCACAAATGAAAGCCAAATCTGTCCAGCTGGGGAAAGGGCAAATTGTTTCATTTACTGAAAAGTTCACTTTCCAAATGAAAATACCTGTTCAGCAAGTCACATCCTAGAACTTTTTCAGGAGGTTTTAGTAGGTTTTTGTTTCCTCCTTTTCTAATCTGATACTGTTCCTTTTTTAAGCAACTGCTTAAAGACTTCTACCATTTAAAAGGTTACTCAAACCATCTTCCTTGCACAATGCCTTGGATTCTACATGTGCCAGTGTTAAAAAACCCAGGTTTCAATCTCAGACTAACTGTTGGGTAGATCAAGGGCTGTGCCATCAAACAGAAGTGACAGTCCTCACTTTGGCAGACAAAGCTTGCTTAAACCTTCTCTTCAGATCCTGCATGTTGGGTGATTTTGGCCGTGGAATAAGAGAGGTTCTCCTCCTCTCAGGGGTGCTGGTTATTTGTTGTTTATTGACTTCTTTACAGAGGAGATGGAAGGCATTAAAGACGTTGTTATAGTTTTCACTGACAGATACTTCATAGAAAGTACAGCCCAGCATATTGGCCAGCTGAAGTCCCTGCTGAGGCTCCACCTCTTTGATATGCAAGAGATCAGCTTTGTTTGCCACAATGACGACAGGGACCATGTTCCCTGGATGCAGCTGTCGAACATGATGGTAGAGGTGACTGAGTAGTTCAAAGCTCTTATAGTCAGTGATGGAGAAGACAATCACCAGGGCATCTGCCCAGCGAATGCATCTGTTCAGCTGCTCATTACAATCCAGACTGTGTTCATGGATCTGAAAAATGAATGGTCTCAAATTAGATAGCTGAAGTCATAAAAGATTAAAGGAACCTGTCTTCAAGAGTCTGTAAAGCCAAATAGCATTTTACAGCTTCAGACATATATTTGGATTTCACATAGTAAGTATGAACTTAATCTGAGCATAGTGAATAAATGCAGATGTTGATTCAGCTGCAAAAAGCTGGAATTTAACACTGGAGTTTGCTGTACTCAAATGGAAAATTGACCTGAGTAGTTCTGCATGCAGAGAAAGACTTTGTAGTTCCACAGAATGGGAAATTAACTGGCTAGACAGTAAGTCTGGGGAAGCAAAGATATGAGCTGGAAGCATTTAGACCTGGAGTTTTGCCCAGTTCAAAAAGGCAACAATCCAGCATTACTCAGGTCTATACATTCAAAACTTTTAACTTGTGACACACTAATGAGCACAGCCACAATGTAGCAGATTTCACTTTGTCATACACATTTATGAAGCTTGTTGGGTAGCAGTCACGACATTTATTTTCTCATATACTATATTTCACATATACCAGTTTGAGTTGTTTCTGGGTTTGTGCCTAATGTTCCCAATATACAGGAACGAGGCACTTCAGTAACTCAGCCAGTCAAAAGTAATGGGCCTCCAATGAACAAATGATTCATTGAAACAGTCTCTCAACACAGCTGGCTTGACTGGTTAAAACACAAGTTACCACCTCTCTCACACAAAACACCAAACTCTGAAATGGAGCAAAATAATTTACAGAAAGACCATAGCAAGATGCTGCACGAAGGGATGCAAGCACACAAACATTTAGAGCTACTCTGGTAGCATAGTTGCATCTAGCTCACCTGAACTCCTGGAGTGTCTTGCACTTGGATGGCCAACATCTCTCCATCTACCTGGATGTGCCTGCTGTAGAGATTACCTGACAAGAACACCAACAGGTTCACAAGTACAGTCACCACCCTACAGACAAGTGTTGCTTTGGCTGCCCATTAGTTGTGTAGGGAAAGCCATATCACCACTCACGAAGCAAGAAGCCAGTGTTACAAGCTTTTTAGGTGTTAACAGCATTTACGATATTACTAGAAACACGGAATTAAATCATGAATTGACCTATACTGGAGCTGGGCATTAAATGGGAGGCAACTTGGAACTTAATCGTTCTCAAAGACCATCTTATCTGGAATAATAAAAGTAAGAGTGCAAAATATCCAGCTTTCATTACGTAGAAAAGCAGTTTTCTTGTCATTTAGTATTTCCACAATTTAGTGAAGCTCCCTGTCGGCTGGCCTGTAAGATTTTCTGGGTTGGTGTTCTTTTTTTTCATTTGTTTGGCTTTTTCAAGTAATTTTCTCAGCAGAAGGCTGTATATTTTACATCGGCATTAGTTTAGACTCCACGCTGTACTCATTGAATGAGATCCATAACATCACCTCTCCATTTTCCCCTCTAAACTGGCCCTGCCCAGCCGCATAGCTGCTGGCACTCACTTCGCAAAGAACAATACAACAGTAGTTTTACAGGATGTTTTCTTGCTTTAGCTAAAAGGCTCCTTCAAAAAAAGGGGCACTTTCACCACATAAAGCAAATTCTTTCAGGGACCTGCAGTACAATCCATCTCTAGTGCTGCTGCGACCACAAACCGCATGTGGCTGTGTCCGGCGTGCCCCCTTCCGAGAGCTGCGAGCAGAGCGGGGAGGGAGGCGGCTCTCAGGGAGCCGGCAGCCGCCCAACGCCGGGCGTTCGTGTCGCCGGCAGCACCTGCGGGGACCTGCAGTCCCGGGGGCAGCGAGCTCTTCCCTTCCCACCCGTGCCCCGGCTCGGCGCTGGGGTGTGCACACTCACTCTCAGGGCTTAC